TTGACACTGAAATTTATGTCAATGTCAAGATCATCCTAAATATGAGATATATAAATCTTTTAGTATCTCTTTTATCTTTTAGGTTGTTTTATTTGGTTGAAGCATTAATGTCCTTTTGAAAACCAAATTATAAATTTCCTTTTTTGTACATTAAACCTGACCCCTTAAAAAGTAACTCCCCCATTTAATCATAAACCTAAACATAAAAAATAAACAAGAGGCCCATGGGCCACATCGCTCACCTGAGTAGCTTTGGCTATGCCGTTCTGTAGCAGATTTCCCCCTTGTAATACCTACTGTGGCCCCGCCCTACCCCCGGGGGTCATGTTTTGAACAATTTAGAATCAACACTACCCCAGGATGCTTCCACATCAGTTTCAGCTTTTCTGGCCCAGTGGTTCTTGAGAAGAAGATTTTTAAAGGTTTTTCCTATATATTTCAATGTAAAACTTGGATTCCTTATTTTGGCCCCGCCCTACCCCCGGGGGTCATGATTTGAACAATTTAGAATTTACACTACCCCAGGATGCTTCCACTTAAGTTTCAGCTATTCTGGTCCAGTGGTTCTTGAGAAGAAGATTTTTAAAGATTTTCCCTATATATTTCAATGTAAAACTAGGATTCCCTATTGTGGCCCCGCCCTACCCCCAGGGGTCATGATTTTTACAATTTAGAATCTACACTATCCCAGAATGCTTCCACATAAGTTTCAGCTTTTTTGGCCCAGTGGTTCCTGAGAAGAAGATTTTTTAATGACCCCACCCTATTTTTTTTCTTTTCTTGATTATCTCACCTTGTAAGGGGACTTGGCCCTTTATTTTAACAATTTAAACTCCCCTTCACCCAAGGATACTTTGTACAAAGTTTGGTTAAAATTGGCCTAGTGGTTCTTGAGAAGTTGAAAATGTGAAAAGTTTACAGACGGATGGACAGACAACGGGTGATCAGAAAAGCTCACTTGAGCTTTCAGCTCAGGTGAGCTTAAAAAAGACTTTTAATAAATGGTAACTGTAATAGAATCATCTCGAGATTTATAAATAGATCCATGTCTATTTTTCATGAAGGATTTTAAACAGTAGAAGCTCCTTCTCAAGCAGATCCAAGATTATAGAGTACTTGTCCCCATGAAAGTTATTGTCACAGTGACACTTCTGATTTTCCTTACTTGCAAGAAATTTTGTACAGTCATCTAAACTTAGTCCCACAGATTCAATTGGTAGATCATTATTTACAATAAATGACCTTAAAAATCCAGTACATGAGTCCAAAAATGACTTGAAGAGATTAGAATTATCACTCAAACTCATTATTATTCCATTGTAAAAGCTAAGTATAGAAAAGAGATGCAGGAGCTGTAAAATACATGTACACGTCTCGTCACCTTGGCTTCTTATCTGCTTGATGAACTGTCTACGGATTTTTCCGTTTGTCCGATCATGACAAGGATCACAGTAAACGGACGACAGGCCTGAGGGGATGCTTACTCTTTTATGGCACCTGATCCCACCTCTTGATTTTTTAGACGTTCATGTTTGCCCTACTTCCGATATGTATTCTTTCAATGGACATTTGACCTTGATATCTGTTCGTTATTTCCTTATTTCATACTTAAAGCGTTTTGTTGGGCAAGTATCCTCAGGGTCATAAACTCCTTTTATTTTATAATTGTTCAAATTCGTAAAAGTGATTGAAATCCCAACCCTTGAAGCAAATATATTCTTGTTGCATATGACAATGCATTTTTTAACTCCCGTTTTGGGCCACAGGTAAAATATGAAAAATCCGAAACCTCATATATATTTCAAATTATATAACCTACAAACGTAGAACTGATTTTAAAGTTAAGTAATTTTGAAACAATATCGCTTGAAATAAACATAAAACGTTTAAACCTATATTTTACTGCTCTGTGTACTGCCCACCATCTGCCCCTCCTTCTGCTAGATAGAGGATCTTACAATAGAGATAAACCTCGCCCCCTGCTGCCACTATTTGTGTTATTGATATAAGCAACCCCATAAAATATAGAATTAGGTTAAATAAAAGCATGGCCTCGGGGTCCACGCAATAAGTTGGAAGACATAAACAAGAACGCTGCAATATTTTTATGAAGACGTCAAGCCTCAAAATGCTATATATATTTAATTGCTATGGTAAAATTTAGAATTTTTTTTTTTCAAAATTAAGGATTATTCCCCTCATGCATAGCTCTGATCCTCCGACGTATTGGCTCCAGTCTTTGGTAACCCTTTTTTCAGCTCTTCAATCTTTAAAAAAAAATATTTCGTATTTCCAACGTTTCGGCTTGAGCATCATTCAAAAGACATCATTTGTCGAAATGCGCATCTTGTGCATCAAAATTGGTACCATGTAAGATTTACTAGTACATATATTAAAATTGTTGATTTCATAAACTATAATTTGTTAATCACAGTATGGACTATCATTAACATGTATTAATTTTGTCTGTAAGAGTGAGCATACAGCCCATAGACCTCATGGTTTCCAATAAGTAAAGTTCAGGATGTCACTGGTACATGTAGTTATTATTGTTGTGTTTAAGTCTTCAACAACATCCTGCTAGCGGAAGATAACTTTACTCAAACTTCGCCTCCAGTGGTATGGAGTGTTATTGAATGTCATTCTTCAAAGGAAATAAAGCGCATCCGTGATACAATTAACTGTTAAAGTAGAATACTGAAAGCGTGGAGCTGAAATTGTCACCCCAAACTAAAACGTTGATGGAAAATCCTGAAAACATGCAACCGATATGAAGCTATTCAATCTACAAACACCCTTTTTTCATTTATAGCTCATATGACCTTTAAACTAATGTCAGATTTTTTTTTATCGAAATTTGACCTTTGTCCGTCGTCTTCGTTTTCTTATTTCATCTTCTCTAGGATTACAGAGCTAAACAAGAGACCCAAGGCCCTTTCCGTCACCCGAGTATAATACCGGATTCATAGAAGTATAAATTTAGGCTGTTTAAAATTAATTCTACGTTTAACGTCACCCGCGCGCGTAGGTTTAGGAGAAATCCGTCTTTGAAAAAAACAAACAATTCGGAATTTCATATATCCGTTCCGGTTTGGTTCTACATTTAGCGACTTAATTCTGCATCCCGTAGTGAAAGAAAATGTGCTTTGATACCGCAGTTGGTGTCTTATTAAAAGGAAACTTAGTGAATTAAACAGTATGGGATTATAAATGTAAGTAAAAAATAGATGATTTTATGATTGAAGTTAATGACAAAATCTAGTTTGTTGAGTTTTTATAAGTCTTCATATCACAGAGTCTCAGTTCGTAGTTATGTAGGCTGAGCTATTCATTGTATTTGGAGAGAATTGCAAAACCTTTTACTGAGTGCAAAGTGTGTCAAAAACAAAGATTTTATTGCATCATTTAAATTTTATTTAATAGTTTCATCTTAAAATATTTCTGTAAAAATTTAAAGGAACATTAAGATTATTGATTTCTTCATAGATGTAGTATTCACGTACCTACAAATGGCAGCAATTTTAGGGAAAGATAATACTAGTCATTGCCATTTGATCGGGGAAAAGCTTACAGAAGATAGGGTCTTTAAAGTAAAGGAGAGCAAGGAAAGTGATTGGGGTATTCCAAGAAGTGAAGAATCCTGTCGTGCGTGGAATTCAAGGTAAAATAATCTAACACCTATGGTCCAAATATAGTATTTACACTTTCAAGAATAAATGCTAGTAGATCTAGTACTATGAGTAAATGAGTATCAATTTCGAGATATTTTCAATTTTAGAATATATTATATACTGTCAACATAATTTTAATTGTAGATATCGATCAACTATTCTCACAAGAAGAAGCATTTTCCTGCAGGATACCATGGACGTGTGGCAATATAAATCCAAAAGATAAACGAGGCCAGTTAAAAGCCACTCTCCTGTATATTCAGTCTACATTGTTTGCTCACAAAAGGATTCAAACCAATATACATACTAAGGAAAAACTCTGCTTAGGAAATTAGACTTAGATGTCATATCCAATACTCTTATTACTCACTAGTGTTTTTTAACGTACTGAATAGGTTAATTTGAATAAATTCACAAATGTTTAATTTTTTTCCCTCTCTCCCTCGTAGGTTTTGGACTTTAGAGGTGACGTTAAACGTAGAATTAACTTTGAACAGCCAAACAAAAAAAATAAATTGATAGGTGAAGCTATGTTGCCCAAAAGCAAGAGAAATGGGATGTTTGGGTAACGGGTGAGTTAACCATGCATCGGACACATACATGTAACTTGCTTCGGACAACTTTAAGCAATAAACTTTCATTGAACCTGAGTCTCCCCGTGTTTTTACTTGTTTCTGTCTTAAAGGTGAAGATTTAAACTTTTAAATGATGCCGGTTTTTATTTTTATATTGTGATAAAAATACCACAAGAATGGCCTTGAAATTACGTCATATTTTGCATCATCAAAGGGGAGTAATCAGAATTTTACGATTTTGCAATTTTTTAAGAGTTGTTTATGTTAATTAGACTTCAACGGAACGAGTCGGACCTAGGTGAAATTTGTCAGTGATTGATAATTTTAAAGAAATTCTTCAAAAATTTACCTTCAATGTTTGTATAATATTTTTTAAAATTGTTTTTTACTAGTATGTCCATTTCACCGTGCATCGGACACAAATTAACCACATCCGGAACACCTCGGGCCTTTCACACAAAAACACCTCGGAAACGAAGCATTAATATGCTTTAAAATGCGGGTTATTCGGTCGGAGATGTGGTGCGGCGGAAGCCAACTATAGTAGTTTGCTGAATAAAAGAGCTACATTTGAAGTAAGTCCTAAAGTCCTTTTTTCTATGTTTTTTTTTATCATGCATATAATAAAACATATAATTATAGCTTTGATTTGTATAAATTATATAAATTAAAGAGATAGCACTGACATAAGATTTAAATTTGACCTTCCCAAACCGAAACGGAAACCAAAACAAATCCACGTGGAAAATTCAATATGAGTGATTTCTGTACTGCTCTTAAAACTGCGACTAATATTTACGGAGACATAAAACTAAAGGAGGAACAGAGGGAAGTGTTACAGTATGTGTACGAAGGTAGAGACTGCATTGCGGTTTTACCCACTGGATTTGGAAAAAGTGTCATTTTTCACCTTATCCCTTTTCTGTTTCAACATAGATCGGTAATAGTTGTTGCCCCAATCTCGGCCCTAATGGAAGATCAGCTTCTGTCATTGAGTGAAATGAACATAAATTCATGTTCTCTTGCAATGGATGGGGCTTTTTTCAACATTGTTTGCATGGAAGACAAATGTATAAAGACTGTTAACATCGACCATTTCAATATGGCAGATTACAGGCTTCTTTATGTCCATCCAGAGACAGTTACAACAAACAGCAAACTTAGAAGAATGCTGCTAACAAAGAAAGTTCAACAACAAGTATGCTGTGTTGTAATTGATGAAGTGCACATGGTTTCAGAATGGTAAGCTTTTGAACTTTTCAAGCAATTTTAATTGAAAATGATAATTGTGGCAGTGCATGATACACAGCTTCCTACTTGCTTGTGTTAGTGAACCCCTTCATATGCTTTAAATGGGTTGAAGCATACTGAACTGGCATGCCAGAGGTCTTGGGTTCAATCCCAAGCAGAGGCACATCTCTTTTACATAATTTTATGGGAAGGAAGTAAAGATAACAGTAAATAGACTATGTAAATCCACTGATGAGAATATGCAAGTTGAGGTTAAAGAGGTCAAGATTAATGCATCACTCTTACATTAGTTAGAATTAGGCTATGCAGTTTTCTGTATTTTATGTGTGTTTTGATCTGGGATGTCCGAAATCAAGAATGTGAATGTCAACCTTAGAGAATTATAAGTCTCTGACAAGACTGAAGCTCTACTGGTGTGTACTTGTATCTTTGTATTGTCTACCCTTGTGAACCAAGTCCTATTGGACCAAAGCTGTACAGTGTGTAGGAAGAGTTGTGTTTTGAAAAATTGTTTACAGGTAGACATACAAGCTAACAGACATCTCAGACAGGTGGATTAACATCTAGTGCCACACCATAATATTTCCCATCTTCGAAAGCATATCAAACATCATATATAAGTAACTGATAAAAGACTTATCTATTACATCTATGAATGATATGAAAATTATGAACAAACAAAAGTTTCCACTTTGAACTTAGCTTGGTGATTGTATTTAACCTTGTTTAGAATTTGCTATAACAAGTTGATGAAACAAGAATATCAACAGTCTCGTTTAAACTCTGCATTTCGTAAGTTCTATGGTCAATACAATGACCTTGTCAGCAAATACAATCTATCATTAAGTCAAATGCTGACTGATGTTTTTCATTTACACACTGAATTGCTTGACAGTTTTTTCAGTTATTTCCTGATCATGACGACAGGTGTGACCGGTTGGTGGGGAATGCTAAATCCTCCATGCCACCTGATCTCACCTCTGGTGTTTTGGAGGTCTGTATTTGCTTTGCTCCTCATTTGTATTGTTTGATGGACTTCTGAGCTTGAATACTGTTCACCTGTACATTATCTCCATATATTTCATTAGGGGTCTATTGATACTGATATTTCAATTTACATCTACGTGATTTGCACTAGGCTAGTGGTGGGCTGCTTGCTTCATGATCAGGGTGTACTCAGTTCAAATCTTGTTCTCAGCACCACCTAAGTTGTTAACATGTATACCGACTGTTTTTTCACCAAATGTTCGGCGCTAGAAGTGTAAGTCAAGGGTCTTTTGGATTGAGACCTTGAATACTGAAGTCCTGTGTCACAATAAAGAAACCTCACTGCTCAGTGGCCCTGAGTGCCAAGTAAAGGTCTAAATTTGAAGACTTTCACTGGTAAAAGGTGATGTCTCATGCGAGTGAAATCTTTTTTCAAGGGATGTAAATTAACAATCAAACAAATAGTAAATGCTGTATTTTGGGTAATTTTGGCATCAAGAATACTTGGTGAATTTGAAAAAGGAGTTGAAAGTCTTGTGTTTTATATTTTGAAGAGCTCTTATCTTTATAATGTTTTATAAATGCATTATCTTTTTGGAAATTTTGATGCTTTATTTTATTTATTTATTTTCTTTTTTTTGCTACTCTATTGATCTGCCAAACAAGAGGCCCATGGGCCACAAAGCTCACCTGACTAACTAATGGCCCTTCTTGTTTTTCATTAGATTCTTTTCCTATTATTTCCTTCATAAAACTGATTGCTCATTGTAGCCTACCCCCTATGCTCTGTGGTTCTGGTTAAGAAGATGAAATTATAAAAACTTGACAACAATGACGACAACAGGCAAATTTTGATCAGAAAAGCTCACTTGAGCCTTCCGCTCAGGTGAGCTAAAAAAGCTAACTTTTGCAACACACCAAAATAACCCAGTATCTGGTATTTTTGCAGGGGTGACAGCTTCAGGCCATCTTTTAGCAAGCTTGGAGAACTGACAGCTATTTTTCCAAGGATACCCCATTTGGCACTAACTGCCACTGCAACACCAAAATGCATTGAAGAATTATGTGAAATTCTTCAGCTTAGAGATGTAAAACTGGTTACCAGCAACCCAGATAGACCAAACATTTATTATGAAATAAAAACAAGACTTCCAAATGTGAAGAAATATGACAAATATGATGACCTAATAAAGCCTCTTTGTATTGAACTTAAAAGTTTAAAGAGTACATTCCCTGTTACCATATGCTACATGGATAGCCTCGAGTCCCTGGCATATTGTTACCAGTTTGCAGAGGAATTTCTTGGCGAAGATGCATATGAACCAGTGGAACAGGTACCTGAAAATCGAATATTTGCCATGTTTCACAAGGACTACACTACAAGGATGAAGACTCACATTATAATGGAACTTAGAAAACCTGAACCGAAAATTCGTCTAGTACTAGCAACTGTTGCTTTAGGGATAGGCCTAAATGCTCCAAGGGTTAACCACATTATACATATTAGACCACCAACTTCATTAGAGAAGTACATGCAGGAATCAGGGAGGGCAGGAAGAGGTTGACAATCGAGCCGAGCAACACTGTACTTCAACAAAAGTGACATTGCTGCCAACCGACCTGGGATGACTGATGAAATGAGACATTACTGTAAGAGTGATGATTTGTGCTTACGATTATTATTGGTGAAACACTTTGGCTTTTCTGTGACTTTGTTTGAAGGGGAAAAGAAAAACTGTTGTTCTAATTGCAGAAATGCTGAATAGTTATTCATCCATGTCATTGGATACTGGGTATTTCAACATTCTTGAGTGAATATAGCACCTATTAACTAAAACTTCGTGGAAGATGTCACAATTGATTTTCTGCATAGTTGCTGAAAAACTGTAGTCTAACATAGCCGTCAATTCTGCTAATATACATGTACTGTTCATTTGTTTAAGTAGCACAATGAAAATGATATTTTTAGGATAAAATTCGTATTTTTTAATCAATTTATACATAACAATTTTTCAAATGAAAGTAGAAAATTTTGTTTCTGTCTTTACTTCACTCAAAAAGAGAATCGGGATCATCACTATCACCACTCTCGACGTCACTAGCATCTTCTCTGTGGTCAGAAATGTGTCCCCTGCGCAATCTCTGTGCCGTTCTTAAGACAACTTATTGAAATTTCTCCTTGTTTACAGTATAAACAGGATTAGCATTTATTCCCTTGAATGAATGCAAACTTCTCCCTTGGTTACTAAATGGATCCAGTTCCCTGGTTTTCTCTAACATTACCATAAGGTCATTTTCCAGAGATCTTGATTTATGTGTCGTTCTGAGCTCACAGATTCCTGCTTCTTCATCAAACTGATGGACTACAGATTCTATAACTGGTGCAGCTTTAGAGATTCCAATAATAGCATTCTCTGTTTTATTGGAACCAAGTCCTCTAATAAGTTCCTTTAAAAGTTTAACCTGATTTTCTTTTTCGATGTCTGCGGGTTTATTTTTTCCAGTGCGCCCACTTTTATTGATGAATGAACTTGCTCTCACTTTCATGGACATCTTTGTAGAAAGGAGAATTTCGGTCTTCTGAATGTAATCAATACATTCGGCAAGATATTTTGATAGTTCCGAGTGACAGTAAAACAAAGGAATCATTGTTTTCAAACATACATTTGTTCTCAATATATCACCTTCTTTGATGGCATCCATGAAATTCCAAATAAGAAATACATACTGTAGAAAACACAAAGAGTAATTCTGAATGTCATCAGTTTCCTTGTTAATTCTTGTTGCAGTTACTATTACGCCATTTACAGTCAATTGAACTGATTTGCCAATTGTAAGCAAAGCAATAGGTATTTGTATAATGGTAATCCTATTTTCTTTTCCCTTGCGCAAATTCAATTTGGCATATCCGTTTTGAACAGGAGCTTGTATCAGAAATTCATTGCTCTGAATGTTAACTTTCAAGTCCAAAATCAGAGAAGACTGGTCATCCTCCAAATCCTGCAAAAAAAAAAAAAAAAAAAAAGGATACACAGTGAAACCTGTCCATAATTGACATTTTGTAACTTACACTTTTTAATGAGCACTTAGCAATGGAACAGTTGCTAACCATTTTTTTTATCTAACAGGTTGATGTGGCCTTGGTTTTTACGTTTTTTTTTTTGTTTTATTCAGTTTTATATGCAGCATGAGCACTCAGACCACTGCATCACATAAATAACAAGAGGCCCATGGGCCACATCACTCACCTAAGCACTTTGGCTGAGAAAAAGCAGATATCAGTTCAGTGCTGATAAGTGGTCTTCCACCACCCCCCTCCCCTGCAAAGGGGCATGATTTGAAAAAACCTGAATCTACACTAACTGAGTATGCTTCCATATTTCTTTGACTAACCAATGGCTTTTCATAAACTTGAATCTACACTACACTATCTTAAATAACTGAGGATGCTTCTGAATAAATATGATTAATTATCGAGAAATTTTTTTAATGATTTTTCCTGTATATTTCTTCGCATAAGTTTGATTCTATGTTTTGGTCCCTCTTTACCCCCCCCCCCCCTTCCCCAGACAATCATGATTTCAAGAAATTCTGTATAAGATGAAATTATAAAAAGTTTATGACAATGACAACTACAACAACAGAAAAATTCAATCAGAAGAGTTCACTTGAGCCTTCAGCTTAAGTGAGCTAAAAGCAACAGTGGAATTAAAATTTAAATAATGGTATTTTGTAAGTTAGAATGACATTTAAATTAAAATGCGCTGCTTACCCAAAATCTGACTAAGATTTTATCAAGGATTTTGTCCATTGTTTGATGAAATATCTTCTCACGTTTTTCTTTGTGAAGTAGATGCACATTAGTTGGTAAATAACTTTCAGGAATCTCACTTAATTCCTCAGGCATGTCAAAATAATGCAAAGTAAATTCTCTAAAATGTCCTTTTCCAACAGTTGTAACCACAGGCCCTTAGATCGCTTTAAAAAAATTAAGGTGTTAAAAAAAAAATAAAGGTATGGAACTCCTTTCATAGGGTACCCACATTCGCCAATAAAATACTTTTAAATCAAATGATCTAGAACTCTACTTTCTATTCACAACTATTCACATATAAACAATCTACGTTACTACAAAAGTTCTTTCCGAAATTCCGTATACTTCGCGAGATATGCTGGAATCATATTCCAAAATTGGCCTTATTTTTTTACTCGACATTAGCTTGGGCCTCTGAATAGTTACACTAATTGTAAAGCGGGAACGACGGGACGAATCCTTCCCGGAATTTATTCTATACTCTCTGAATATTTGTTTTTTAGCACTCAGTCTCTACAAAATTTTATCTGATTTGATCATATGGTCTTATTAAGTTACCAACAACATTTCAGCGGTATAATTTTTAAAAAATCAAAAGGTATATTATGCATTCCGGGAAATTTTCGTTCAATCATAGTTCTTTTTACATTTATAAACAACATGGCTGTGAAGTTGTTGAAGCAAACGTTTTCTAATTTTTTTTCGCGAAAGTAATTATTACGGACTTAACCTTACGATCTGGAGTAAAAAATCAACTTTAAAATGTTGAAAGATTGTGCAAATACTATGCAGCTGTTCGCTGCAGTTCAAACACCGTCTGTATACATGTGGATAACCAGGGCCCAAGCTAATGTCGAGTAAAAAAAGTAGGTCAATTTTCGAATTGATTTCACCATATCTCGGGAAGTACATGGAATTTCGGAGTGAACTTTGGTAGTAATGTAGAGTGATTATATATGAATAGATAGGAATAGAAAATAAAACTCTAGAGCATTCGATTTAAAAGTATTTTATTAGCGAAAGTGGGTACCCTATGAAAGGAGTTCCATACCTTTATCTTTTTTATACACCCCGATTTTTTAAAGTCGGATTTAAGCGATCCAAAGGCCTGTGGTTGTAACAAAGTCTTCATGAGCTGCAAATCTGCTTTTCACTTTCCCATTTACATTGGAACGGTGCAGAATTATCTTATACCATGCCAAAGTGCCTTCATCTCTTGTTGACTTTAAGTTGAGGAATCGTTTACATGTTTTCTACAAAGGAAAAGTTGAATATCTGTACAGTTTAGTTTGTCATATATAAAAAAAAAGATGAAGAGACCCATATGCCACAATGCTCACATGAGTTATGCTCTTTTTTTTTTTTTTTTTTTTTTTTAAATTGTCCTTTTGGTTTTATAAAATATATTGACTACACATTATGGACCAAATGCTAGATCTAAGAGTGGTATTATTTAATCAAGATTAAATTAACACATATTACAATGCTTCAATATACAATCTCAGTGGCCATGATTTGAATAATTTTGAATCTACACTTCCTGATGATGCTTATTAATATGACTAATGATGGCTTTCCTCTTCTTGAGAAGATTTTTACTAGGTAAAACTTTAACTTTGATCACATATTATAGAGATGGACAGACAGACACCAGGCTAAATATAATAAGAACAAGATATGTTTGTGAAACACTGATGCCCCCGTATGGCAGCTTATGGCAAAAGTTAAGTTTCTCAAATACAAGTCAAACTCTAGGTCAAGAGATCAAAAATATTGGTACCCAAAGAAAGGTCTTGTCTCAAGGAATAAACCTGTAAAATTTGAAAGCCATAGCACCAAATGTTTAAAAGTTATGGCCAAGGTTAAAGTTTTTTCAAAAGTAGGTCAAACTCCAAGGTCAAGGTCAAATATGATGGTACCCAAAGAAAGGTCTTGTCATAAGGAATACACATGTGAAATATGAAAGTCATAGCTCCAACTGATCAAAAGTTATGAGCAAGGTTAAAGTTTTCGTGGACAGACAAACAGACGGGCGGACAGGGCAAAAACTATATACCTCTGAATCTTTGATACGGGGGCATAAAAAGCTCACTTATCTATAAATAAATTGAATTTTAGTCTTATTACAATGTAAAGAATAAAATTAATACTGATAAAAAAAATACATTAACCTGATGGTATGGGATAAAAAAAAGTTATATTGAATTTATTTTGCTCCCGTAATTGAAGATTCTGAGGCATATAGTTTTTGCCCTGTCCGTCCATTTGTCTGTCTGTCTGTCTGTTTGTCCGCAAAAACTTTAATCTTGCCTATAATTCTTGATTGGTTGGAGCTATGGCTTTCATATTTCACATGTGTATTCCTTGTGACAAGATAAAAATATTAGCAATTTAATTGAAATAAATTACCTCTAGGAAATCCTGTATTGTGTGAAAGAGTTCAACAATCATTGGCGACAGATTATCAAATCTTTCCAAACTGGTATGAGCACCAGATCTCAAAGCTTTAGCCCACTGGAGTCTCTCTCGCGTCAGTTGGTCCCCACCAACTGGTACCTTCATTTGAGGAAATTCCTCACCTAAAACAAATAAAAATCAAACATATTTGGTATTGATTAAGTATGGATATCTTCTGCATATAGGTAAATTTGTGTATTATAATTACTTATTTAAGTAATTACTTGTGTTATTTTCATCAGACTTTTTTTTTTGCATTAACTTTTTTCCCCCAATTTTTCACAAAATAAATGTTAAATTTAATATCATCAGATGACAAATCTACACCTTATTTATAATTATTTATAATTGTTCTTTTAGATTAAATAATAGGTCAATTCTTGAAAGCATACCAACAGATCATACAATTGAAATTTCTGTTAGTTAACTGTGTGTAACAAAATAAAAATAAATAGATAATAAAAATACAAACACTAACCAAATAAAGAAGGTAAACTGAACAGAACTTCAGAAGCAAAGAAACTGTATTGAACCTCGACCAGCTCGTGTATACCAATCCTCCAACTGACTAGTGTATGATGTTAATATATCAATACAGTCAGAGTATGATGTCTCATTTTTTAATAGTATAGGCATGAGGAAAGGGGTGGATTTCTGTGACATTTCCTCAGATAGTTCATGCGGTATGTGGTCTGGAATGCACATTTTCATCCATAAAAATTTGTTGGAAAATGCAATCATTTCTCTTGCTAAAATGATTTTCAAGCTTTCTCTGTACATTTTCTCCTCTTCTGGAGATGGCAGGAAGTTTTCAACTCTGACAGAATTGGCATCACCAATGCTCCCTTTGTCACTGTACTTAGAAAGATCTATTCTGTCTGGGGTATAGTCTGAAGCAAAGAAATGAAAGTCTTTGGCTTTAACATTCATTCTGATTTCATGCGTAGCCACTCGAAAGTCTAAGTTGTCTCCATTTATTTTGCCATCCCTCCCACTTCTTAGACTCTGTACTATTTTTTCATCACAGTATTTCCCCAAATCATCCATGAAATATTTTTTGGAACTAGTGGAAAGGGTGATGTGTGCTTTATTTAGTCTCTGAAGTAGCTGTGAAAAAACATACACAAAAAGCAAAATTAGCAATTCTTTTCATGGAGTGGACATAGTACTATCATGCCAATGTTTATATATATATATATATATATATATATATATATATATATATATATATATATATATATATATATATATATATATATATATATATATATATATATATATATATATTAATTATATATTCTTTATCATTGTTTATCAAAGGACTGAGACTCACTGTATTATCAGCATGACTTCTGATAACAAGGGCTGTATACACTCTTTGTATTGCTAAGGATTGCTTGTTTCTAGCCTGCATGATCATTGGGTACATGGTAGCCATTGTCACTTTTTCAGAGGATTTAAGTTCCCTTTCATCTCTTACATCCAATAGAGTCTTAAACACTTCATATAAAAGTGAAACTTTTGTTTTCAATTCCCTCAAAGCTTTTTCAAAGACTGCACCATTCAACAGCTCGAAGGAGTTCTTTTCTTGTAAAACAGTCTCACCTTTCCTATTAATTTCTTTTAAAGAACAATCCAGTTTCTCCAGGAATGTTTTAAAATTAACAGACTCTCTAAAATCAAAATTGTTTTCTATGTTAATTGAAACAGAAGAAGAATCATCAGGTATATCAAGTTTTTTCTTTGCCTTCTTATAATGGTTTGTAGTACAACTATGTGAATTTATGCACAGTTTTTCCACAGATCGTGTTATTTGCTCTGCCACAGAAATTTTCTGAGTTTTATGTGGCTTTTCCACACTTCCTGGGGTAGCTACTGGTAATCTTTTCCTTCGAATGCTTTCACAGAATTTTTCATGATTTAACAATGCAGTTCCTCTAAACGTAGAATAGTTTAATACAATTTTATAACATTTTTCACAAATAAACACATCACTACCATTATTCTCAAAATCTGAGTATTTGATGCCTGTAGTGTTCTCTAACTTTTCAACAAAAGATTCTTTTCTAGATTTGTTTCCAAATATATTGATGTCTGGTTGGTATCCCATTGCAGGTAATGCAGTTCTTTGGAAATAATATTTTGACTGGTGTTTTGGAAATGGTTTCTTTGTCCATACTGAAATAAAGAAAAATGTTTCATAACTACAGATTCTGTACTAATATAAGATGACTTCTGAAGTTCAATATATATCTACATGTATTAATATCGTATATTTGCCCTACATACAAAAAAAAAAAAAAAAAAAAAAAAAAAAGAAGAAGAAAATTTAAACTATAACGTTACAATGCAATAATTAACATATCCCGTTAAGGAGACATATTTTAATTCATAAATTCTCATTACAATCATGGAACTCGAAAGATAAACCCATGTATGTGTGTGTTGTCAGCAATAATTACTAACTTTTTTCTATAATAATCACGACTTCCGTTATGTTTATACATACATAAATATACAGTCATTTAGAGTATTCCGAATCACCTTTTAAATTTTGACTGCAAACGATTTTATTTACAAGTTTATAAATGGTTGTTTGGTATTAAGGGAAAGCCAATTCTATGAAAAAACACATCTACATTACACGGTGAGTCTATCATCGATACAGCGGTCTTGATAGGGGGTTTTATTAACATCACCTTTTAGTGTATTGTGGGTCACTTCCAGCTATTTTGTATCAACAGGTAAATGGCTAAAAAATAGTCAGATAACAACATTATATTTAATGAATTAGTTGGTATTGTTTACCAAAAATATCAAAAAATTAAAAATTATTTTCTTGTGGATTGTTCTTGTTTATTTATAAAGTTATTACACACACACACACACCCCCTTCTGTAGAGGCACTATAAAACAGCGTTCTCAGAGGCGGATCATGCAGAAAAGCAAATACCAACAAAATAATACTTTCAGAAATTACCTGGCAGTAAATTGTTGTCCTTTAAATACAATTATGTCACATTTTTTTCCCATGTGATTTTTTTTTCAATGCAAAACAATTAATTAACATTGAACGTGTGTCATAATTTTACGAGTAGGCTACCAAGAAAATTTTATAATGATGATAAAAAAAATTATGAAAAGGAATTGAACCAACTCATGTTAATCATGATTATCAAGTATGACATGCTACATGCTACGTTTCTACATGGACATTTTCTTCGAAAAGGATAGCAATGTTGCAACCACTATTGAAATAACGACCACTATTGAAATAATTATTTCAATAGTGGTTGAGAGTGAATTTCAAAAATAAACACAGGTTTTAACCACTATTGAAATAACGTTCACTATTGAAATAATTATTTCAATAGTGGTTGTACGGGCATTTCAAAACCCAACACAGGTTGCAACTACTACTGAAATCGAACTAAATATTTCAATAGTGGGTGAAAGTGCATTTCAAAACCAAACACAGATTGCAAGCACTATTGCAATAACGTTTACTATTCAAACAATGATTTCAATAGAGGTTTTGAATGCATTTCAAAACCTAACCCAGGCTGCAACCAGTATTGAAATAATGTTCACTATTGAAATAAAGATTTTAATACTGATTGAAATAATGATTTCAATAGCAATTGAAACAATGATTTCAATACCCAAACCACATTGTAGGCCTTATTGAAATAACCCCGCTCTTGAAAACAATATATAAAATAAATTTTACATTATGGGTCCCAACATAATGAATTAATTTATTGAGTTTAAAATATGACAGGTAATTTTATGTCTTAATTTCTGTCTAGAAATACTATTAATACACAGATATCTGTGATTTAAGTAATCTAGTGATTTCAAGAAATTTTCTTAATTATATAAGGTTCATCATTGCTATTAGTTGTTGAAAAAAAAAAGTTTATAAAAACAGATAATTTTAGAAATTAGAATATCTACATTTAAAAAAGAAAGAAAAAAATCTAAGTGTCATCTATGTGTATTATGTTTATTAGTTTTTTGTTTATCTCTTAACGTTGTGCTCTTTATTTGCTTTATATATTGTATTTCAATTTTGTGTTTGAAGTGGCATATAGGCCCGATGGGCCGGGTGTTGATTGTTATTTTATACAGTTTGTAAATTTAACCGAGCAGTAAGGATGACATGAAGAAATCAGATGTTGGTAGCCATTTTATTTAATGAAGTTTAAAAAAGACATTGACCTATAACAAATATAAAGAATAAATTAGAGAAAAATACAATATACAATATAGTTTCATAATCTTTGATAATAAGTTACCGTTTAATGCAGCATACATATTAGATAGAAAAATTTTCTGTAGCAAAATGAACTTTGAACTTACAGACAAATATAAGAAATTACTCAAACAACTTTAACTGCAAAAATACAATAACGTATAAACTTTGCAATTAAAGTATAATGTCAAACTCAAAACTTGTAAAGTAAAGTAACAAATAAATAAATATAATAGTTACATACCACAAGATGCAGCTGATATACGCTGGATAGATATTTTCTTTATTAAATGTAATACTGCCCAATTTTGCTTAGTTTGAACGGTTACTTATACTCAAGGTAAATTGAAAATATTGGATAAAATCAAATGAATCAATGAAATTTAAGATAGAAATCGACTCAATCCGATACGCAAAAGAATTATATTACAAAAATATTTAAGATTACTTTGGATGAAACGAAAAATAGAATGATCCCAAAACGAATAAATACATGAGAAAATTTTGAAATCTTTACTACCACAAAAACAAAAGAATTTAATTATGTACACATTTCACTATAAATAAATAAATTATTTATATTACTTACTTATACATTAAAATCAACTATTCCGGTAAACTCAGTAAAAGCGTTATAACATAAGAGGTCGTTAGTACAATAGTGGTCACACGTATGAATTTAAAACTGCTGTTGAAATAATATCAACTATTTAAATATCTATTTCAGAAGTGATCATTATTTCAATAGTGGGTACATTGTTGCAACCACTATTGAAATAGTGACTATTGAAAAAAATTTCAATAGTAGATATTATTTCCATGTCCGTAGTATTAATGCAACCACTATTGAAATAACGATCACAAATGAAATAATTATTTCAATAGTGGACATTATTTCAATAGTGGTTACAACCTGTGTTTAGTTTTGAAATGCACTCTCAACCACTATTGAAATAATTATTTCAATAGTGAACGTTATTTCAATAGTGGTTACAACCTGTGTTTAGTTTTGAAATGCACTCTCAACCACTATTGAAATAATTATTTCAATAGTGAACGTTATTTCAATAGTGGTTACAACCTGTGTTTAGTTTTGAAATGCACTCTCAACCACTACTGAAATAATTATTTCAATAGTGAACGTTATTTCAATAGTGGTTACAACCTGTGTTTAGTTTTGAAATGCACTCTCAACCACTATTGAAATAATTATTTCAATAGTGGTCGTTATTTCAATAGTGGTTGCAACATAGCAAGTTAATGAATTAAGATACATATTAAATTACCGAGAGTTGCGATATGCGGGTGGAATACCCTAAATGACTGTATAATTAATTACCTCGTTTCTGGAGAAGATGAAGAAATCCATGTGTGTGTGTGAGATTCGTGTGTGTGTGTGATATCGGCAGTTACAAACTTTATTCCTTACCTCATGTGAACAAATCGGCCATTTTTAAATCACGTGAAGTCGAACTACTTTCGATCACATGGGTACATTCGTTTACGAGGTGTTTTTCTGTGAAAGGCCCGAGGTGTTCCGGATGAAATTAACCATGCATCGGGCACTTTCCGATGGATGGGTAATCACTTCCATTTTCATATAAAACCCAAATGACAGCTGTTTTTTACGGAAATAGAAAATAAAAACTCTAAATTTTCAAAGAAAATGCAAGTTATCGATAAAACGACTAGAAGTGGACTCAATTTAATTTCTTAAACTAGATGATGATAACCCACGAGACACGGGCGCGAATTGGCATATTACTGGCATTTTAAAGCCTTTCTAAGGCGATATGATGAACCTAAAATCTCTTCACATCTGTGGATCGAAATAGTCATTCAAATTTAACTATAAGGTTAATTTTTAAATAAAAGATAAAAATGTTTCGACATAACCAATTTTAAAGCACCAAGGTATAATATTTTTTCGGTTCAAAATAGTATGTCCGATGCATGGTGAATATTGTCCGAACCATGGTGAATTCTGACTTATTTCGAAAAAATCGATTTTTAGTGATATTTTCTCAATAAATAGCACACGATTGTTTCAAAAATTTATATTTTAACCATATACTACATGTTAAGCTCCATTTTGATAATATTCGGTCGGTAGCGATTTCGCTGGAATTTATTGAAGCGCGAGGATATCCAATGCATGGTGAATTCATTCTATAGGGCAGCAAGAAATTCAAATATTGAGTATATTATTGATGATTTAAACTTGTAAAATGTAAATATAAGGAATGTTTTTAAGTTTAGTGTGAATTATTGGTGTGTAAATCACACAGACTTGCACTAGCGCGCTTCATGAAATATGTCTACGTGACAAGTCTGTGTGATTTACACATCAATAACTCACACAAAACTGAAAAACATTCCTTAAATAATTTCTCTCAGTACAATAAAAATTTAAAAGAGAGGCCTGTCCAGCACCAGAACACTTGACCAAGTGGTCTAGAATTTCAAAAAATATATATATGTAAAAACACCCTTACTTTATTCACAAGTTTGGGGAAAAGGCACGCTTGTCTATCATAACTGCTTTTGGGTTATCTGCTAAATACCCAGAAACAGAAAAGATTTTAAGTATTAATGCATTTTTACTACGTAACTTTATAATCAATAGAGCCCCCACCTAACACCGAACCCTCTAGATCTGAAATTCACAGTTTTAAAACAGGCACCCTTGCTTATCATAACCATGCACTCGGTTTTTTTCTGCTAAACTCCCAAGAGCTGAGAAGAAACACAAAAGAAACACATTTTCACTATAAAATCAATAGATCCCCCAAACACACATGAATTTCTGACCCTGCATGGGGTCACACATTTCATAAATGTAGGAGACACCTTTG